CGGGAACAAAAACTGAATATTTTCGCTATTCGCGGCACGTTGCACATTCGACTGAAAAAAAAACCCTGGATATTGTTGATCAAACTCTATGGGACTGGTTGTAATTTGGATGCATCATTTATCATGTGGTTACAGTGTATAATAATAGCGTTACGTAATATCTGAAATATATTATAATATATATATATATATATATATATATAGAGTTTATTATCCTAACCAATATTGCCTCTAAATAGCATACTCTTCCAATAAATGGTATCAGCATATAATTGTATATTAAATACATAACTTAAATACATAATACATTTTATAGCTATATATGTAAAGTATCATGGTTAACCGGTGTATGACTTTATTGGCAATTAACGCCGCAGATAAAACGAGAAGCTCAAGTTACAAAGATATAAAAAAAAAAAAAAAAGAAATACGAGTACAATTTAAAGCTTTCTACTTTGTCCCATGAATCACTGTACATGAAAATGTATCGTCATTTACTCTTGACAATGACAGCCGCTACACATCGTCGCGTGTAGCAAGCTACAGAATTGCTATACGTGTGCTCCTTCCTCACCTAATCCTCTTTGAACGGCACTATACGAAACGGGACAAAAACCCTCGCTTCTTTGTTCCGGCACGTTGTTCTCACGAGCGAGAGTTACAACGTTGTAACCGCAGGACACGCCAGGTGCACCTACATGCGCGCGGCAGTACGCGGCACCCGCTTTACGGGTCGTAGGTCATAACTTTGCGAGCGAGGCATCGCGCAGTACACAACCTCGCGGCGCCCATATCTGTGCGTCGGCGATTTTTGGCCCCGATGTTTTATCGACAAGCCCGTCCGTTATTTATTATTCCCCCGTTATTGATCAGCGCGAATCACCGTGGCACCCTTGTAAAACTCGGTCGCGGAATATGGAAACGCTCGTCGCGACGATGACAAATTATTTTGGTACAAAACGGTCGTGCTTTACCTTCAACTGCGTCGGGTTAATCAAGGTACACAACGAGTGACACGATTGAAAAGTTTGTAACTTTTTTTCAGCGCTAGCAAGAATTCCCCTGTCACTATATTCATCATTTACGAGTAACGACGGAATCTTCCGAAATATATTCGCGATGGTTCGAACGAAATGAGCGAAGTTTTATGTTTTAGAAGTCCAGTGTAGTGTATTAAATATACGTTCACCCGATGCAGTTGAAAATCAAATCTCTGTGAGATAATGTGATATTTGACTATTGTCGCATTTCATCATTTAATATCCTCAATATCAATATCAATGTCCTTCACAATAATACGTGCAATTTAACTTCCAATAATGACCTGGTGTCTTGTGACGCTCGCGAGTGGCGGCTGAGCGGAATGGGAAATGAGAACTTTTCCTGTTATGGAAAAGTTCTCATTCCCCGTCGGTCTACTTCCGGAAGTGTTTCCTAGTAGTAGTAATCTTTCGCATCCGATTACAATTGAATCGTACACGTGCGTATCGGTATTTCATTCGCAAATTGTTCCGCGGATCTCGAGGTATGATGCTCTTGTCATCACACTGCGAAAGCGCAAACGACGGTCAATCGGTTTTCGATGAAATACAATTCGTTAACTTGATACGAATTACGCTGGCACACCTAAAGAGAAATCACGCTGACGCTTGCATGCGCATCTTCGCGAGCGCTGAACCGTTACTCGTATTGATTGCACACGCCTATGTTCTATCTGTTATTAAATGGATCGGGATGGTACGTTGGAGCAAATTGATTCATTTGTCGTTGATAACGTAGCAGGAAAGGAAAAAAAAAAAAAGAAAACAGTAATGTGTCACAACTGATATTGACGTTTCTGATTTTTTTTCTAGGAGAAGTACATAAACACATATATAAAAATATACTATCTAAATTTAAATAATATTTGTGATTGAATATTAAAAATTGATTAAAATTTACTGTTTCCTAAAGAAATTATTTGAATAATATTTTATATTAATTGATACAAACTTTGTGAAATTTAAAAGAGAAAATTTAAAATAGTAATTGTAAATGATATAAATAAAAAATATTGTGTTATTATTTCTTTTCTTTGATTGCACACGCATAGTAATTGTAAATGATATAAATAAAAAATATTGTGTTATTATTTCTTTTCTTTATCATCAATCTATAATAAAAATTATTTACTTTTTTCATTATAGTTTTCAAACAATATGTATATTGAGTCGAAGTTTTTAAATAGACTTCATATTTCAGAATATCAGAAAAGAGGATTTAAATTGTTACGGATAAGAAACTTATAATCTAAATCACGCAAGACGAAAATTCCTTCCAAATTGTTCTACCTATTTAACTGAGAAGAACCTTTTCTCCGCCACAAGTACTTGAAAAGTTCAAATGTTCTCTGAAACCACTTATGTAAAGAGTACTAATATCCAAAGAGGTCAAGAGCTTCAGCATTCATACTTCGGTCAACACAGTATGTGTATTACTCCTTTATAAATAAATTACAATTATCAGTTATCCGCATCAGTTATTCGCATAACAGATAATGCGAAAGGAACTTGTAAGTATATAACATTTAATATCATTCTTATATTTTCTTATTTTCGCGTTTCTTATTTTGTATGCTTTCTAATTTATAACTTTTATAACTTTTCTTAAAAGAAAGTCCTAATTAGTCCTTATTTGTCCTAAGAATGCATTTTAATATAAAATTGTTTTTCTATATTTTAAGATAAAATGTGCAAAAATAATAGATTATTTTCTTATTTATAAAATGACGAATTAATTTATGTTATAATAAAAATCCAGTTTATATGTTTTCTTTATTAGAGTTCTTTATAAAAGACGGTCCTTTTTCGTCTTTAATAATAAATTACAACTACAAGTTATAAAATTTTATTCTAAGCAATATTAAAGCTGGTATTCTTAAGGAATGATATAAGAATTCGTGGTAGGAAAATTGACTTGTTTCAACGACGAACTTTACGCGCAGAATTCAAATCTTATTCAAATGTTCAGTTGCTACAGCTAATTGCTAAAGTTCACGTAATACCATAAGAAGAAATGAAATATTATGCAATTTCTGAATATATTTTTTGGATTTTATATGCAACAATTTATGCAATCAAAAATACATAAAAAGATATAAACAACTTTTAATATTCCGAGAAATACTTTGAAATCTTTGTGTTTGTATTATATTATATTTATGTTGAACAATGCTTCATTTTTTATTAAATATTTCATCCATAAGTTTTATACAAGCGGATAAAAATAAATACTAACAAAAAATAAATGTATTTACTTTTATGTAGATTATGATATGAATATAAAATTGTTTATTCCAATATAATAAAAACTTTTTCCAACATCAAAAAAAATCCTTTCTTACAAAATTTATTAAAAAATATTAATAAAATATTAAGAGATGTTCTATTATCTTAATTATGTAGTAAATAATACAATTATAAAAGCAAGAGTAAAGATAACTTCTTAAACGAATACTTTCGCGGAACTTTTAGCTTCGCCATTATGGCCGCTGTGAATATCGTCAGTAATTAGCGAGCAATCTAACGCTAATATCGGCGAAATGACCGTCGTCGGTGTGCGCAAACACGACGTAATGTTCCGTTCGCAAAACATACTCTCTCTGAAATCGATCCATGTGCAAAACAACCTAATGGATAAAGAGATCATAGATCATGCATGCTCGCCTATGCCGATCCTCCTCTATCCGCATGCTGCAAATTAATCTCCGATCTGTGTCTTAGCTGCAGATCAGATACAAACACTTGCGGGCTTATCTAGTTCTGCTGTTACAATCGATAACTAAGTAGACGCTGGCGGCATCCGTCGAAACCTACCATTTGCCTTGATAACGTCAACACTAACGCTGCTTACAATGCACACTCGACTCATTGTCTGATATGTATCTGTGTTGTAGTAGTTCTGACAATAAAACGAACTCTTCATAAAGTCGATCCAATAACAACAAAGACAAGTTTCATACGGCATGGAAGTTATGAGAACAGTATTTTGTAATTTTGTGCACAGTAATTTTGCGCACAAAAAGAATATTTTTAGATGTAGCTTCTAAATATTAATGCTATTATAAAATTTAGCAGCATTAATATTTAGTTATAAATACTGTTTGACTTATATTTTTCTCAATAATACAAAATTATGCAAGATGTAGATGCTGTGAAAGAAATGTATTTTTTGCATATAATATAATATCATTTATACGTATAATAATTTATTTAACATTGTCAGATGATTCGCGGTTGATTAAATATATTATGGATCATAAAAGTACGAACAATAACACACACACGCGCGCCCACGCAGTATATAAAAAAGAAGCACTATGATATTGTCATAATCTCTAAACTTATTTATGTTTAGATAAAATTTTTAATCATCTAGTATTTTCTTTTTAATTTACAAAAATAAAATATTATATATGTTCCACGTGAGAAAGAATGAGAGAGAGAGAGAGAGAGAGAGAGAGAGAGAGAGAGAGAGAGAGAGAGAGAGAAGAAGTAA